TAAAAAAAAAAAAAAAAAAAAAAAACATTGATATACATTATTCGTAAACGAAAATCTGTTGACACAGCTACGAACGATTGTGAAAGATACTACGGAACGATCAAGACGAATCCTAGATTGCAAGTGACACCGGCATTCGCATTGACCCATTTTGTCACCACGACTTTTGTCCAACCTTTGTCGTACTTTGGATCGGTTATGTCTGAATTCGTAGATAACGCTACCAGTAAGTTGAATTTGGTTCAATGTCAATGATATGCCAACGTTATTGGATTATTAACTATGTTGCGCATTGTTTCGCAGGTAGATTAAACTTTGTGTACAAGTTTCCCGTCGTAATCGCTCTTTTCTCAAGTTTCTGCGTATGTGTAATATTGATACCGTTTTTCTGGATTGGCGGATCTATTAATTTCAGTTTTGGACCGTTCTTCAAATTTGGAATCAAAGGCAGATGACGAAACTCCAACGAGAAGAAAGAACGTATTGAACGGATTTACGAGGTATTAATTACGCTGCGGTTGTATACTCTTAAAATTAGTTTTCGTTACGTTTGTGAATTAAATCATCGATTAAACTTATCGATTTCTCGCGTTTCCTTCAAAGAGATTATCGCGTTCCAATTTAGTTATATTATTCGGAACATTCCAAATATAATAATATAAAACTTGTATAATGTTATAAATACGTTTTGATGTAGAATACGTTTCTTTTTGGTTGCAGGAAACTTCACCTAGGATGAGATTAAAAGATTCGGACAAAACGAAGCGAATTACGTCGGGACGAGATAACGGTAATGCTGAAAAAAACAAAAAAAAATAGCAAGATATTTGTAATAGATTCCTATAAATAGTCGAGTAATTATTATTGCATATTAGATCCTGCTGCTGGAGGTGACACTGGTGATACTACCGATGTACAACTGAGAGAAAGATGCAAGGGTAAAAAATGCAAGTGTGAAAATAAAAGTGGAGATGGAGACGTGGAATGAGATGAAGAAGAGAAAAATAGAGATTGCTAACAAAATTGAGGAGCATTGTCTCTCGAGACAATGCTCCTCAATTTTGTTAATATTACTAACGATGAATTTTTTACATTAGTAATTATTAATTTTTATACTATTAATAATTAATAACAACTGCATATCGATGTTATACGTGAAAAATTATAAGCTCATTTTGCTTTATCTTGTAATCCCTGAGTTCCGTAAAGCGCTATATCTATAGCATACGTAACGTTTACCGTAGAATATGCGCGCATATGCGCTTTACGGAACCCAGGGAATATTGAAAGACCACTGGCGGCCATCATAAGTCGATCCTAAAGTAACTATATATAATATCGTTTTAATATCTCGAGAATATTGAAGATATTTATATTATTGTATCAAAGTGCGTGTTTTTCGTATTTTCGCACTAATCTATTTTAATATCTTTTGTTTGTAGAATTTCTACTATATTTCTCAATGCATGCGGATGCGCTGCGCGCGTTACCGGTGCAAAAGCACTTTGTACTCTCATAAATTATTGCTACTTGCTAAATCGAATATTTTGTTTAATCTTTTTTTTTTTTTTTTTTTCAAGTAACTTTCGCG